AGTAGAAACTGTGCTCCACCGCACGGCCCCGTACAGGCGCCGTCTCCAGCAACATGCAGATTTGTACAGATTCCTGCAACGGAAACCGGAACCCAACAAAACTCAAAACTGCAACAACTAACCCCGAGCTTAAAATCAAAACCCAACTGCGGCAGAAAGTCGACGATGGGCACCGACACCTCGAACAAGTAAACAGACTTCTCCTTCTCGGTGTAGCCGGAAGCTATGCATGAGGTCCTAGGCTGTTCTAGCAACCCACTGGGGAATTGAATTGGGTTAAGTATACTTACGAACAAGTGAACAGCCTGGGGTCGTCTGCCAGTCATCGTGGAGCGAGACCGAGGGATCGTGACCGATTAAGCGCTTCAGATGCGCGATGTACAACCTGACAGTTTCCAGGGAGGTTCGGAGAGGTGTACGGGCCTTACAACCTAGAAGTGGTGTAATAATGACTTTTCATCAGAACACAGTTGTTGGGTCTAGTACAGTACCGATGGGGACGAAACTCAAACCTTACCGGGACCCTGTTTTTCGGCTTCAATTGAGATTAGTTGGGGGGCCCAGCTCTAACCTAAACCCTTTACTGACTGGGACGTATCGGGTGTCGGGTTCAGGGGTTTACGGGTTTAGGATTCATAGGTAGCGGGTTGTAGTTTCATGATTCCCAGACGTATGTGTGAATCGGTACATCTTGCTACGAAGTTTCAACGAAATTTCAAAGCCAGCCCTTTAGTAACCCGCAAGCCCAGCACGATGCTCGCGAAGGCACTTTTTTACTGATGGTCTTTCAACCCAAGCCATCGACAGGCAATGGTTTGCTCTTGGCCGTCACAGAGGCCACCCCCCAGCCGAATATCAACCAAATCCGAGCTTGAGGACTGTTGACGGGTAGGCGACAGACTGCATTTAGGTCAAAGCTGCACGCGTCAATTCTGCGATCTTGCTGAGCCGGAAAGCAACCATTTGTTCGGACAATGAGGCCACAGCTCGAAGAATGCGACAGATTAACTCAGCAAATACGCCGGGAACGATGTTGGCACAACGCCCTGGTAGGAACCTGCTTCGTACTACAACAAGACTGTCGCAAGGAAGGGGTGTGGAGGACATACAGGCGATCTGGGCGAAATCACGGGGAGAACTCCACACGATGCAGTGGGAAGTCATGACCTTCGGTGCATTTTGCATAACCAAAAGGCGGATGCGGCGGCTAAATCGCCTGGGCTCCAACTACCTGAAGTACTGAAGAAGGCAGAGCAAACACTTATCACATGTATCTTTGCGAACACAAAAGCTAGAACTTCGTCTCCAAGATTTCTCAGGAGGGTCATGGAAGAGTTTGCGCGCGATAATGCATGAAGCTTTGTAGTCGTTGCAAATGCGGTTTCGGCCACGATGATCCCGGCAATGAACGGTGATGGTCTCACGGGATTCCATCAATGCAAGGTGAACCTAAGCCCTAAACCCCCAAAATTTAAGTTGCACAGCCCTAAATTTTTAAACCCATAAACCTTAAACCCCAGACGCAAATCCTTGGTCTATGTTAAAAAGCCTTCCCGAACGTGGCCTCGCTACCACAACCTTGACCACACCGTGCTCTTCAATGACTCGGCTCAGCTCGTCGGCACTCACCTCACAATTCGAATTTAGGGTTAAGGTTTGTTTTGTTCGGGTTGTGGGTTTAGCCTTTCGGGATTCGGACATGCTGGGCTATGGTTTCTATACCATGCGCTTGGGGTTCCATGCTATGAATAAAGCTCTACAACGTCGAGGGCTTGGGGTTCATTAGGGTAGCGTCCTGATCTGGGATAAGGGTCCTCCAAATCTATTTACGGGCCGCACCGGATATCTGAAAAAGTGATGTAGAACTTGAGCGGTTGAGGTTGAAGCTGGATCTACAATGAGCGAATTCAAGCCCACAACGTTACAGCACCACAGCTCGAAAGCCCCAACCCAGGCATCCCGAGCACAAACACTACAACAGTGAAGTCCCAAAAACCCAACAGCCCAAACGCCGAGACATTGGTACCTGGATAGCACAAATCTCATACAATCGCTGACGAAAGATCGAACTCCAAACCTGAAACCTCAATCCCTATAAATCAAACTCTTTCGAAACTTTTCAAAGCCTGTAAATCCCAAACGAGGCCCTTGTAAAACCCTACACCGGCCCGCGAAAGGCAGCGTAGTGCATGTTGGTTATGCGACGAGACCACAAACCCTAAACCCCCAAAAACCCCCTAAGCCCGAAATCCCAAACCCTAAACCCCCAAACCCCTAAGCCCCAAATCCCAAACCCTAAACCAAACCCTGAAACCCCCCAGGTACCTACAATATAGGGTACTAGAGCCCCTAGGGCCCTATATAGTAGGTACCTGGGGGGTGTAGGGTAAACCCTGAACCCCCAAGGCTTCTTCGTTGAGAGCCTCCCGCCTCAAGCTGGCCTCTTGGGAAGATCTCTTTGGCCTCCAAAAAGGGGATCCCCCCGGGTCTGTGCTTTTGGTAGGGTTTAGGGTTTAGGGTTTTGGTAGGAAGTTGTCTTATGGGGCCTAAGCCCCCATGGGGCTTAGGGTTTATAGGGTGTCGTACGTTTTTAGAACACGGGTTTCACTGCAGGGTGTTATCTATAGTGCTTTTGTTGGGTCTGTTTTGCGGCTCCTTTCCCCTCTGAAGGCTCGACCTGTAAGGTCTCAGATCACTGATCCGAGTGTTTTTATCCCAAAGGCCCCCCCGCAGGGCTGTCGGGTATCCTCGATCATGGAGAGCCTTCAAGTGTAGGGTTCAGGGCTTCAAAGGTGACGTGAACATCGACTGCCAGGTGACGGGCGACCCTCGGTTTGCAGAAATGACCGCACCACAAAGACAACCCTAAACCCTAAACGGTTTTTGATTTAGGGTCTTGCAACGGCTACCACTTGACAAGACCAAGGAACCCCAGCCCAGAGCCCAAAGCCTGAAATAGAGCTCCGAGTCTTTAAACTCTACACCCTACCTCAACCTTGTCGAGCTTCCGCCTTTTTCTCTTCCTCCAAAGTAACCTACCAATACAAGGCAGCCATGAGAAGGAACCCTGAAAAGATGGGTTTCATGTCCAGTTACAGCCTAAACCCTAAACCCCTACACCCTAAACCCCTAGACCCTAAACGGCCCTAAAGCGAACCCTCAACCCTGAAAAGCCCTGCGGCCCAGGGCCTGTATGATACGCCGCAGCCCAACCGCATCTAGGGACAGGGCTCGATAAGTCGTCACACGCCCGAGGGCACCTGAGTTTTGCATCTAGCCATCTCAGGTCTGGGTTTAGAATCTTCTGGGGTTTAGGGCTTATGGCTTAGATTCTTTTGGGGTTTAGGGTTTAGGGTTTAGATTCTTTTGGGGTTTAGGGTTTAGGGTTTTGGGGTTCAGAGACTGAGTCTAGCATTTTCAAGACACCAACGACATATAGTGTTTGGGGATGCAGTCTGCGCCTCCTCATGAATGATCGAAACGAGATCTCAAGAACACTTGTGACTCGACGGATGTTTGATTCTATCGAAACTAGAACCCCAATTCTTGGTGCGATGACTCTATCTATATGTCCAAAAGGGAGGGCTACGTTCATAAGGCTCACTTGCAGGGTAAGGCTGAGGGTTTAGTGTTCAGGGTTCTAACACCTTGCACTCGCTCCCACTGACACCCCAAACCCTAAACCTCCAACTCCTGTAGCCCAAACACCCCCACCCCTGCGAACTCCGAACCCCTCCCCTAAACCCCAAAACCCTAAACTCTAGAACCCTAAAACCCTAAACAAAAAAGAAAACAACACAACGAGAAACCCCTCCCCAGGGCCGCGGAGGCACGCGCAAAGCCGGCGAAAGCCAACTCGGGGCTCGAAGGCGGCTCGGGGAGTCCAGTGACCCACTTGATAAACCTAGGGTTTTGGTGTAGGGGTATAGGGTTTAGGAGTTTTAGGGTTTAGGGTATAGGGTTTCGGAGTTTAGGGTTTAGGGTATAGGGTTTAGGGTTCATAGGGCTTTAGGGGTGTAGGGTTTAGGAGTTCAGGAGGTTGAAGCTGTGTAGATAAGTATAGGGTTCACTAAGGAGACGTATTAGACCCGCCAAGGGCTCTTACCTCGGGGGGGTAGGGGGTAAGTTGATTTTTCAACCATTTTGGACCTACCATACCGACGGAAGCATATGATGCTACTTCCACTTTTGGCTCCGGTATCGAAGATGTGCGTATCGTAATCCCGTACCCTGCTCAGTAGGGTAGCTTAACTTGAATTCTTTCGCGAGCGCCCAGAAACTCCCGCCAGCGCGTTCCCACACCGGGCCATCGCAACACCGGGATCAGGTGTGAAACCTGCAGGATGGTCTTGCAGATGCTCTGCTGGCGTCTTTACGATAAATATTTGGAGCCGTCTGGGTTTTAGGGTTGTGTCATCTTTCAGTTTACCATACATTTAATTTGTAGGTTCATCAGAGCTTAAGGTGGCTGCTATAGAAGCCTATAAGCCCTAAACCGAGATTGATCCAACCACCGGAGCTGCGGGGGCTTCTCCTGCAGACCGGACATCGCAGAAGGGACCTTAGTTCACCTTCGGCGGATACGCGCACTGTAACTGGACCCATAAACTACAATACGGCCCGTCGCTTGCGGGACCTACCAGTAGAGCGCAAAGGAAGGGACGGAGTCTATTTCTTTTGAACCTAGCCTCGCCTTGCTCTCTGCGAAGGCTCCGAGCATGGCCCGAGCTTCGTGCTCGTTGTAGTCCAAGGCCAGCCTTTCCCGGGTGACTTTGCCGTGGTCCAGCGGGCGTCGTGACAGCATCCACTGAATTTCCTCGTCCGCAATGCCCTCCTCGCATCTTCCAGCCTCGGCATCATCTGGCCAGAGCGGCGAGATGTCGACCAGGAAAGCTTCTGGAGGCTCCTCTGAAGCCGGCATTGCTTCCTTCTTCAAGCAGGCGGCAGTGGTGCAGACTTTTTTGAGCCCCTGCAGCTGCACAAGCTGCAGTGTCGGCGGCAAGTACGTATAGACATAAAACCGTGTTTCATGCTCTGGGTGGAAAAGCGGCCGCTCTGTGCCTCTCTTCGACTCCGTTTTTTCTGTCCCATACACTATCACACTATTTAACAATTTATCACTAGGACGAGGGGCTGCCGTTCGCCAGACCTGAGCCGTAATATACCCTCGACGCCAAATTACCCGTCTAGTCGGCTACCGGCTACTGCCACTCCATACTCCTTGCAGCCGCCAAAACCCAGTCACCCACTGTATATGTGACCATGGGCCCTTATAAGCAGTTCCTTTTTGTGGTTCACATTTAGAATCCTATATATATATATATATAAAGTGATCCCAAAAGGAACTACTTAGGGGCCTGTGGGTGACTGGGTTCGCCTTAGCCCAAAGTCGTCCTTCGCCTGCTCCGTGTGGGCGAAGAAGGACGTGAGGCTGCGCGTGAGGCTCTCCTCAAAGGCTCCAAACTGACGGGGTTTAGGGTTCAGGGATTTAGGGTTTAGGGTTTAGGTCTTCGGGTGTTGAAAGGTCTTGGGGAGTATTCGAGATTTAGCTTGTTTGAAGGTTTTTGTTATAGGTTTGGGCTGTTGCTGGTCTGCGCGGATCTATGGCCCTCTTGCTTTCACGTTGTCGGGCTTGGGTTTGCTAAAACCTTTAACCCCAAACCCTATAAAACCAATAAGTCCCAAACCCTAAAACCTACAAGCCCTAAACCCTAAAGCCTATCAACCCTATACCCTAAAACCCATCAACCCTAAACCCTAAAACCTATCAACCCTAAACCCTAAAACCTATCAACCCTAAACCCTAAAACGGAATACCCCCTGTAAACTGTGAGCCTCCTTCTTCTGCTTCTTCTTCGGTGGGTCCTTCAGAGGCTCCTGGTGCACTTACGCTGGCAATCAGGGTATAGGGGTTTAGGGATCTAGGGCTTAGGGTTAGGGATCTAGGGTTTAGGGATCTAGGGAATCTAGGGTGTAAGATTTACCGAAAACTCCACATGGAGGCTCAGCCACGTAAGCAGGCACTTGGCAATCCAGAGGGCCAATATCTTTGAACTTGAGAGTGAAGGGTTCGCTCTCCAAGACACCAAACACTCGGCCATGACTTTAATTTAGACTAATACTGACAAGTAAACGACCGACAAGTCAAGTCTGCTGGATTTGGGACCCAATGCCACAACTGACTATGCAAAACCCTTTCAACACCTCTGGGTCAACGGATCTGCATCGAATGCGGCCTTGGCAACTCGCTTCGTGGAGCCTTTGGTGGAGGGACCTGGTGCAATGACACCACAGCCCGATCTCCACCCTCGATTGTGGTCAGTGTTCGCTATTTTGGGCTGCGGTGGCACCTTCAGCCGTGATTACTTCCGTACTGCGGGACCTTGATTTAAACATCATGGGCAACCAGGCTATAGGGACGATACTGGAGCGGGAAGTCCTCTGTGAAGCAACCTGCACTGCCGCCGGGTTAGCGGGATTATACATAAGGCATACCGGGCATCTACTATAATATAATATAATAGTCTGTACAATAATACAAGAAAAAATACTACAATATAATTAAGTAGAAGGATTCGGGTTTAGGCTTTCGGGGTTTCGGGGGTGGGCCCTGGGGGTTTTTCGAGTGCACGACGCATCGACATGGCTTAAACGTAAGAATCCAGAATCGTCTTCCTCGCCCATGAAATACTGCTTTCACTATTCGGCCCAAACCCCAAAACCCTAAACCCCAATTAAGGCCCGCATTAAGAACGGGTGTTTGGGCTGCTTTGCATTACAACAATGCTGTCGGGTGTGACCCCTGGGCCCTGAGACCTAAGCCCAAATATCCTTCAGTTCTGTAAGCTTGGGGTTTAGAGTCTAGGGTTTCCCTGCACTGAAAAGAGCGTTTGAAATTCTCTTCGGCCCCTGGAAAATACACCTTGAACCCTGAACGCCTAAACCCTCGCCTGGAGCATCTTTCCGTTGCCCAACCGCTTCGGCATCCGCCTGGTCTTGTTGGGGTTAGATGAGTTTAAGGGTTCAGGGGTCTAGAGTTCAGGGTTTAGGGTTTAAGTTTGTGTAAGCGCCCCTTAGAATTAAGGTGGGTTCCTGCAAGGGTTAAGGTGCCACATAATGGTTTTAGGGTTTTGTCAGGTTCTACATTACGGGCACCTCTTCTTTTCAGGTCTGGACGATAGACGGGCCGGAAGGATCATTCCTTCCTCTTAAGATCCGGAGCTGGATGGTTCAGAGAGCAAATATTGGGGTCTGAGTAATAGAAGGGCTTTTGGGTATGTGCAGTTTATGGGAATATCATTAGTTACTGAGATAAAGACATCGCGGTGTGTGTGTGTGTCACTAATCCCCTTTATCTTGAGCTTTGACCTGCCCTAATTTACTTCTTGGGCGCAATTACTATGCGGGTCCCTCCAAAATCTGCCAATTTGGTCTTCCGGCTATCAACACTTCAAGCTTGATACCTCAGATTCTGAAACCTGCAAGGTAAGCACTACTAAACCCTCAAACTTCGGCCCCTAATCCTGCATTCAGGGATGGGGGTCTCGCAAGTACAAGGGTGAAGGTCTGGGTCAAGACTGTCAAGACCCCCAACCAGACTGAGTAGCACTGTCTGCTTGAATCATGACATTGACTACTCCGTTGTTGAACCAGAATCTCTCTACCGCCCGGACGAGCCCCTAATCCTAAGACTACTGGAAACTGCAATACAGATCCATGTGTTAGCGACTGCAGGTTCCAACAAAGATTCAGATGCATTTTGGATTTTGAGGATTCCGGCGATGGGGGATTCGAGCGGGATTAGGTCGATTGGGGGGTGACGGATTACGACAGAAACCCTAAACCCTAAACCTTCATCCTTCGGGCCGGGCCATCATCTCGGCGGCCGGAGCTGCTCCCTGCAGTCAGGGACATCTCAGCTCAAGCCCTAAGGCTCCGGTTTACCACCCTGAAGGACACCCTACAAGGACCCTAAGCTGTGGCAATTATGGTATATTCCTTATTATGGGTAATTCAGGATTTATATCATGAACCGTTGAACCCTAAACTGCTGAGCCTTTATATCTCTACCTGAGCCTGGGGAGGCTTACAACTTCGAGAAGCTGGGCTGCAATGTCAGGGACAGGTCCGAGGGAGTTTATGGTTTAGGACTGCTGGCACCCACGCAGATGCAGGGATCTCTGAGGTTGGCTAAGGGTTTTGTAAATGAGTAGTTCTCTAAATTCGGGTCCCCTTTAGGATCCTTTGTTATAGGGGTGCCGTACTATATTGGGGGGCCCTCAAAAGGGACACTACTTTAGAGAACTACCCAAATGGGTGTAGGGGTGCCTTGGGCACCTTGGGATTCAGCGTCTGGGGACTTGGGATTCACGGCTTCGGGTCTTTGGGTTCTGAAGGCTCTGCGACTCTGCCGGCTGCAAGGCGTCATGGATTTGGGGCTCTGTTTTTTTTGTTTAAGGGCCTGTTTGAGGGCCTTTATCGTCGCCTGCACTCCGAAGCCCGTCTATGGCAGGCAAGGATTTGGGGTCCAGGGTGTGGGAGATTTAAAGCTTTGTCGGTCTTCAGTATGTCTTAGGGCTTTGGCTTCTCGCAAGGCAGTGGGGTACGGCGGTCCTGTGCAAGTGTATACTTCTTTTCTGCTAAACATACCGTATAGTACACAAAAAGCCGTGTCATTCATAGACCCCAAGTCCCCCGGCCCCCCTAACTAAACCCTACGCCCCAACCTAAAGGCTCACTCTTTGGCTGAGCTCTACGCATGGTCCCGTTTGTCAAGGCGCATTGAAAGAGAGGCCGTGGTGTTGTAGCAAGGCCTGTACTTCGATTAAGAAGCGTAACACCGGAAATGTCTGAGGTACATGCCTGGCCCGGGTCAGTATCAGGAGCTCGGGGTGGGATATGGCTGGGACATGTGCAAGCATGTACTGAAACACAGGGAGCCACTTCCATGAAGGGGCCCTGAGAACATGGATCGAGTCATGGGGAAATGCAGGGTGCACGGGAAATTTGTCACGCAGTAGGCTTCGGAAACAAGGCTCTCTTTGAATCCTTCAGCCGCTAAGGCATCCCGACAGCCCTTCAGTAAAGAATATTGGCCAAATCATATAAGTGAATATAAATCGGTACTACAAAGGTCCTCGGGGTATAATTTTCATGAGGTAAAGGATCTTGGAATCTATTGAAAGTTACCGAGCCTGGAATTGTTTGTGCAGCTCCTCGAGAAGCCTGATTCCTGTCGGCCGATGCTCCTGGCAGTTGGGTTTCGTGCTTCATTCCAGGGGCTTCTGCTCTAGACGCGAGTAGCTGCTACGATAAGCGAACAGTGAATCCGGGTACAGACCCCTGAAAGCTAATGCAGGATCTTGAATCAACTCCAAAGCTTCCCGGAATGGCTCCCTACCTGTTACGCATCATTATGCTATAGGCTATAGGTTAATTCACCGGATATTTCCTCCTCAAGACAAGACCCCCCCCAAAAGCAGCCCCAAGTGGGTCCTTGGGTTTGGGTTTCGGGTTTAGAGTTTAGGGTTGAGGGCAGCACCCTGATCTCTACAACCCGCAGTATTTAGTGCTCCAGCGCTTGAGGCTGCAGGGTGTTCGGAGCGGT